CCGCATGGAATCACGTCGATACAATTTGACATAATACAATTTGGCATAAAACACAGACTCTCCCCGGTCTGCACAATGTTACTTGCCTTTCCCCGTGCGGCATCGGGTCGACGATGTTTCAATCCATTAACAAATTATTTTCGAGTAATCGGGTGTTGCAAAGAAAACAAATTCCTCTTTCTGTATCCTTTTCCCACTTTTGGCTTCACGGTGGCAGTCGGTTACCTCTGCAACAGAACAGAAAGCCCACAATGGAATCGAAACGCGGCGGAGAAACCAAGAAAAATAACAATACGGCCATCACATCGTAAGAAAGGGGGAATATGGACCCAGGAGTAGCGGTAGCTCCACTTGTGTGGTCAAAAAATGCCCCTATTACATTTAAACAACTCTAGTAAGACTGTTGAAATTTGTTTATACATATTTCAAAAATTGCTGTCAAACGCGTTAACATTGAGAATGTTTTATGAGAGGTTTTTGTTACTTACAAGCCACACGTCAGGGTTTTCTTTAAAAGGAACAACAAGAAGACCGAAAAAAGGTCGCTACGTCCGTATGTTTGTGTGGGTTTAAAATAACAATCGAGTCACTTTGCGATCGCAAAACTCCTCGCCCACACACAGACACACACACCTGCAATGGTAGGAAAACTGTGCGTCTACTTTGACTTGCAAATATTGCAACCTGGTGCTCCTATCTAAGCCTCTGCGCTGCGCAGGGGTTGCCGAGCTTCTGGAAAGGCAACCATGTGTGCAACGTCCGACGTGGACGCTGGTACTTCTGTTACTCAGCTCGATTTAATTCATGTGGCGTCACATTGACTAACATGAAAAAATGTCACATTGGTTAAATCGTGATGTCAGCCTTTTTTTATGTTATTGTCGCATTATTTTTCGTGTGACTTGAACTCGTTTGAACGTGAGAGTCACATGGAACATAATGTGGCAATAGCAGCCAAAAGATTTACATAGTTGGTTCAATTCACGGATTAGTATACTGGAGTTACCCGTTTTCCCAGTATACTCATTAGCCCCTCAGTCGGCTTCCCCCACACCGACTCGAGCATGACGGGTGTGTGCGAGACTGAGGTAGAGCGGCGTAGCGGGTCATGTACCCAGCCAGCCAAGCAGCCAAACAGCCAATCAGGCATCCGGCCAAGCAGGGCCTCTCAGCTGGTGCTGGAGCCCGAGCTGGAGCCGGAGCTGGAGCGATCCTCCAGCCGAGACTCGGCGCCACTCCAAGCAACAACATTCCAGCTCCCTCAGGGAGGGCCCCGGCCCCGTGCCGACGTGCAACCGCGTCGTAGCGACATGGTTCGCTGCCCGCCGACCACGGAGGAAACGCCCGCTCATCCCCAGTGTCTCGCTTGGCGTACCGCAGGAGAGAAAGGTAGAGAGGGTAAGAGGGAGGGCAGTGAGAGTGGAAGGAGAGAATATGGTGGCCTAGCCCGAAAAGTCGTGCTAGCGCCAAGGTTAGGGTGGCCCAAAAAAAAATCAAAATGTTCGGAGAGAGCAACGCCGGTCAAAATCGAGTAGTGGATGAAAAATAAAAGCTTACGTGTTTTTTCCTTTTGCTGTGAGATCACTCTAAATAACTGCGCAAAGCCCTTAAACTTTAAACAGGGTCCTAAGTGCATTGCGCGAGGTATTTCAACACGAAGTTTTGCTCCTATTTAATCGACACGGGTATCACTTTATTCGTCTTTTTGTGCTGAAAAAGAATATGTGTCTACGCGGGCTGTAGGTGCTACGGTTTAGATTTTATCGCGTTTTTACTTCAGCCGATTTCCAAAAAAGTGCAATTTTGAAGCGTTTTTTGTCTGTTTCTGAGCCCTGAGAGATCCCAAGCTGACACCTAGGGCTGATATTACTTGTCCTTGTACCAGCCAATATTCTCGGACCCCGACACGGGCATTTGAGTGCCTTGCCTACCCTCCAGGGGCATGTAATTCTCGCGAATTCAACACAAAATTGGAGTTTGGGTCAAAATAGCGAACTGAGACGATATAAATTGACGGCAATGCGTCTAAATGCACTTATTCAGCAACACTAAGTGCAAGAAGAAAAAGTTAAAATTAATTAAAATTTTAAAAATTAAAAATTTGCTAAAAGTTGTTCAATCCTGTCATTATTTTTTTAAAAAGATCTTGCACTAAGTGTTGCTAAAGAAGTGCATTTAGACGCATTGCCGTCGATTTTTATCGTCTCAGTTCGCTATTTTGACCCAAACTCCAACTTTGTGTTGAATTCGCGAGAATTCCGTGCCCCTGGAGGGTAGGCAATGCACTCAAATGCCCGTGTCGGGGTCCGAGAATATTGGCTGGTACAAGGACAAGTAATATCAGCCCTAGGTGTCAGCTTGGGATCTCTCAGGGCTCAGAAACAGACAAAAAACGCTTAAAAATTGCACTTTTTTGGAAATCGGCTGAAGTAAAAACGCGATAAAATCTGAACCGTAGCACCTACAGCCCGCGTAGACACATATTCTTTTTCAGCACAAAAAGACGAATAAAGTGATACCCGTGTCGATTAAATCGGAGCAAAACTTCGTGTTGTAATACCTCACGCAATGCACTTAGGACCCTGTCTAAAGTTTAGGGGCTTTGCGCAGTTATTTAGAGTGATCTCACAGCAAAAGGAAAAAACACGTAAGCTTTTATTTTTCATCCACTACTCGATTTTGACCGGCGTTGCTCTCTCCGAACATTTTGATTTTTTTTTGGGCCCTTCCCTGCCTTGACCTAAACTCTTGAGAAATTAGGATCTTCTCGGTCTCGGATGGAAACGGAGAGAGGAAGAGAGAGACTGAGAGGGGAGAGAGAGAGAGGGGGGGGGGACGAGGAGAGGGGTATTGAAAAAGGTCCAGGGCAGTGGTCAGCGCCAAAGAAGACCCTCCAACACCACTTCTGCTAGACTTCTGCTCCTGCTCCGTGAGGGACAAGGGGGAGGGTGAAAACGGGGGAGGGGGGGGGGTCAAATAATGGTCGTGGGGATGATGAGACGAGAGGGGAGCACAGAGCAAAGCCCGACTTATTATTTTCTGTCGTTTCTCGCTGGGGTCCGTTCGGGGCCCCTCGGCTCGGATGGGCTGGTGGGGCTGAAGATTATGCTAGCAGGTCAGCGGATAATTGGTGCTCTTAACTTGTGCCGCGTCGGCCTTGTGCCGGGGAGAGGGGGCTCGGGGGCTCGGAGACAGGCTTTGAAGAAGGGTAGAGTGAGAGTATAAACAGGTTCACAGACCCAAAAGCCTGATATACAGCATCCGCACAGCAAATCGTGCACTGTTAAAAAACGTTTTTAAATTTATGATGTAAAGTTTGACAGCGGCAAATGTTGTTAAAAAACGAAACATGTTATAATCTAACAACATATACGAAATTATCTAAAACAAATTTTCATTTCAAAAAAGTGATTATTTTCCTCCACCTGCCTGCACCAACAATTTGTAAAAGCACAAAGTTGTTTGTTTTGTAACGATATATGTTATCAAACTTTACAACGGTTGTGCTGTAGTTTTACAACATGGTGATAAATAGTGATTATTGTTATGGACCTCAACGGGAAAAATAGAGGGACTTTTGTCACATGCAAATGAAAACAAATGATGTTGTTGTGTCATAATTTGACAACATTGTTTAAATAGGTTGCATCCCGCGTGACCAGTAAAATGTCCTTTCACCTCGCCTTTCACCCAAAAGAGGAATCGAGAGGAATGATGGCCATATGATTCCCCCCC